AGTGCTAGATGAAATGTAGGCCTGGTCACCATCATGTTCATCATGTTCAGAAATCCTGTTTGATGGAAATATTTTCTCCAACAATAGAATACAGAGAGGTATTGTGGAACTTGCTGTCCTACCCTCACTGAGTGCACTCTGGTAGGATGGGGAGAAATCTGAGCCAGTCACTACTTCTGCCGCTTCTCAGGACATGAAGAAGCTGGGTTGTTACCTGGCTTCTCTGAGATACTTTCCTCACGTGAAAAATAGATCTAAAGTCATCTAATGAACACCTGTTGGGAATAATTTCCAAGGTTTCTTCCACATTTAAAAGGTAATAATTATGACAGGATGTCCAACAGAAAGTCCAAATTATATTTAGGAGCCTATCCCCCATATTACTTTACATTTTTATTATATATAATTAGGACACTCATAAATACCAATTAAGAGTCCATCATGAACAACTGGTTGTAGATTATATAAAAGAAAAACTGTGTTTATTCCCAGCAAACTTAACATTAAGGCAAATATTTCATACTTGCATATACCTCTACACATATACCTATACTACATAGTGTAACTACATCATCTGTATAAATGTAGATAAGTGTTTATTAAATAGCTAACAAGTAACCAATGACACATATGCATTAATGAAGACAATCAGAAAAGGATCTAAGTGCAAAGTGGCCAAATTGGACATGTTTTACAGATGGCTAATTCTTCAATTCTAGGAAACACATGTTCTGTCTACATCTATGCCAGATTTTATGTCATTTGCCTTTGCACTATCAGTTAAAAAGCCATGGTATTAATGTACTTAAATCCGGAAGATACTAAACTGCTTCAGAATTTGAAAATTACCTGAATATTTGATAATATAAAGAACTCAATTGATTTTTTTTCTTTATTGATTAAGGTATTACATATGTGTCCTTATTCCTCCCTTGCCTCCCCAACCTCCCGCTCATGCCCTCACCCACTGGTGTCTGTGTCCATTGGGTATGATTATATAAATGTACACAAGTCCTTTAGTTGATCTCTCCCCCACCCTCCCATACCTTTCCTCTGAGGTTTGACAGTCTGATCAATGGCTCTCTCTCTCTCTCTCTGGATCTGTTTTTGTTGGTAATATTTTAGATAATGATAATGGTGTTTTGGTTAGTTTTTCAAAATTACTTACTGAAATAATTATGGATGAAATAATGTGACCTGCTTCAAAAACAATTCAGAATGATGGAAGGGATAAAAACAAATAAGGGTACAGATAAGATTGGCTATGAGTTGATCATTGTTGAAACATAGGAAGTTATTATATTACCCTTTCTGCTTTTAAGTATGTTTGGAATTCTCCGAAATCAAATAATAAAACCCCTTCTGATGTAAGCTCAAAAGAGTACACCAATCTTCCAATTAACAAAGCTCCTATGTATTAGGGCCAGCCATGTTGTTTATATTAGTAATGTTTGCTGACAACAAAAGAGGGTACAGGTAAACATGTTCTTCTGAATGTCAACATCTGACTAACAAATTTAGAAGGTTTACACTGTCTTATCATGAAACTTGTAGAGTTAAGTTTAACGGGCTGATTGTTTATTTTTTACTTCCTCATCAAAAGACCAACTTATGAAAATAACTAGGTAAAGCTTGTCACTAACAAATGGGTCCAATTTATTTTACATTATTTTAATTATTTCACAAGTGATGAGCAAATTTTACAACAAGCTTGGTCAGAATAAAATTGAAAAGTAGGACTCTGCCATTTTTCCCCCAGAAATACAGATTTTAAGCAGTTCTGGATAAATACATGTAGTAAACCATAACATTAAGATGATGGAAGGAATCATCTGGTAAAAGTCGCTCTCCATTTATCTTCAAGAAAAATTCAGACCTTTGGCAGTGTAACAACGGTTATCAGATATTTCAGATATGACAATAAAGTACATATAATTTCCAATCTGAAATAGTCTCTGTGTTGCCCTCATAATATACACCCATCCCAGAAATTCAAATATTTTCATAACCAAATTATACAGATGGTTTCTTACAGGCATAAGCAGGAAAATCCTTTATCAGATCATGTAACTTGCTTGTAATCTGAAGAATATCATCACTGTATTTAGTGCAGTGAGGAATGAGGTGCCATTTATTGAAACCTATTTCTCCATGCCTCTTTATCTGGATAATTTCTATTTGTCATTTGGGTTCAATGGAAATATCACCTCCTTGAGAAAACTTCCTTCGATCTCCCCCTTACTAGACTAGAGTAGAATTCTGTACTCCCCACTTCATAACACTTTTCAAAATTATATTTATGTAATAAATACATGATTTTAAAAAAGATATGTCTCTCCCACTAGACTACAAGGTCCAAGAGGTCAGAGGTCATGCCAGTCTTGTTCACTACTGTATTTCCAGTCCCAGGCGTTCTAATTATCAAGCCTGGCTGTACCAGGATCATCTGGAAGCTTTATAAAAGACTGATGCCTGAACTCCACTACTAGAGATTCTACTATAATTGGTAGAAATGGGGTGGAGGACAAAAATTGATACTTTGTAAAAACACCAAGGGGATTCTGATGGGCAGTCAAGGCAAGGATGGGATACCTTTTTTCTGCCAACGGCCATTTAGATATTTATAACATCATCATTCCAGGGCCATAGAAAATTATTAACTTAAAAATTAGCCTGCTATATTTGAACAAACACTTAATTAACTCACCCCTAATGTAGGGCCAGATCAAATGATTTTGTGGACATTCCCCATTCCTGGTATAGAGTCTTGCCTAACAGAATAGATTCAATAGATAAATATGCAAGGTCCTCTAAATACATCCAAAGACAATGGACTATGTATATCATCTGTTGTCATTGCTACTTGCTAAAACTACAAAATAATTAATGACATTAACAGGAATTTTGATGTGGCATCAAAACAGAGATATTTGGGTTTTCCTAAAAATCAAACTAGAAAAGAACAGAATCAGCTGGATAGTACTCCAATTCATGTCAAAACTGTGCTATAAAGAAATAATTGTGACCTCTTCATTATACTTTCTTCTGTGCCAGGACTGTTCTCATGTTACTTCACTTACTCCTGGAAACCTTATGAAGTACCACTATGCCTTCTTTTAGATAATCTATTTGTCATCTCAGTCCACTGCCATTGCATTTGCCAAGGTCAACAATACCAGTACTAAATCTGCAGGACACCTCTTTATCTTATTCTTTTAAAATCCTTGCTGATCACTCCTTTCCTCTTTGCTTTTGTGATATTATGCCCTCATTCCCCTCCTAGCCCCCTGAATACACCTTCTTCTTCTCCTTTGCAGGTTGCCCTGTAAATATCCCTCCTCAAGATTCTATCTTAAGTTTGCTCCTTTTTTTAATTTTTGTGGGTTAAAGCATCAACTCCCAGGAACCACCTTTATGAAGATCATATTCAAATACTTACTCTTTAAATATCTATTGAATATCTTCACTTTATGCCCAAACAGAAGGGAAAAATCATTTTTCCCCTCTAGGATTCCCTAAACTAAATGGTGCCATCATCCTAACCAGCTGTGCTAAGGTCGTATTCCAGTTTCTGCACAGCTCTGGAATCCATCCCTTCTCCACATTCACACCTCCATGGCAGGCAAAATGCCGGAATTGCCACAGCAGCCTTCTAAGCAGCTTCACTGCTCCAGGCTTACATCCATTCACTACATGGAAGACAGCCGTCTTTTAAAAAATAAACCTCATTGGGTCTTTCCCTTGTTTTGAACCTTTAACACATTAAGCGCCCTGTCAGTCACTGGTGACTGACACTATACTTTCCATCCGGAAGACAAAACTCCCAGGAACCACCTTTATGAAGGCTGGGTGCTTAACGTGTTAATGGCTCCTACAACACCTTCTGGATCAAGTTCAAATTCCCTGAAGCAGCTAACAAAAGTGGACCCAGGACCCAGCGCCTCCTAACTTGAGCCACTCTAATCATGCTCTAAGCTCTAGCCACATAGGATTCAGCAGCCTTCTTGTCCTGAAATGGTTTTTATCTATTTCTTCTTCCCCACCTCTATTTCAATCAGCCAACAAAGACACCCCACAGATCTCAAAACATGTGGCATTTCTTTAAATCTTACAATGTCCCTTCGTGACCTCAAAATTCTGGATCAAATGCTGTTCCTAAGTGCTACTACAGCACTTGGAACTTCCCAGGCTTAGAAAGTAGTACACTGTCTTCTACTAGTCACTTTCCCTGTCCCTCTCCCTTGCTATTTTGGAAGTCTCATGTGAGCCAAGCTCTTGTCTGTTGTACAGACTGCTGTATCCTGAGCACCCAACGGTGGCTGGCACATAGCATTCAGGACATTCAGTGCTTGTGAATGCAGCCGTGACTTCTTCCTTCAAACTTACCTCAGAGTCTCTGCAAAGGTTGGTCCTTTTTTCAGGCTGGAGTGGGCCCAACAGGCTACTTCAAATCCTTCCAGCTCTTAGCTAACATGGAGCATTTTCTAAGACACCCTCCCAAACCAGCCATCTAAAGCATTCTCCTCAGTTCCCTTCCCTCATAGTACCATTATGTTTTCTTTGTATCACTTGGCAAACATTTGTATTTGGTTAATTACATGCTCTCTTCCAGAGACCATGTTTGTTTTATACTATATTAGCATAGAGGCTGGTACATAGCAGGATTTAACATATATTTGGAAAAAATAACAAGTGGACTAATAGCTTTCATGAAGGGCTAATATCATTTCATACATCATGTTGCTTCTCACAAAAGTTTAACAGTCCCCCTAAACCAAATCTTTGTCAGTACTGCCAGTCAACCATAACAATAGGGATAAAGTTAAAGAATTTTCTGTTCTGTTACTCAGGTATAAAGCTAAGCAGGGGTAAACAAATAAACAAACAAAAACCACAGATACACTTATCAAGAAAAATAACCAATCATTCTTTTCCTTTAATCATTATGTGTTAAAGTGAAAGTATGAAGTGGTATATGCACTGGAAGAGAGTGGCCTTGCCTTTCAGGTCTTGTATATAGCCCTCTTTGCAGCTGTGCATGAGCTGAAGGATCCATCTGTGCTGAGCTCCGATACACTGCCAAGCAGGGTCACCCGGTGCATGAAGGTCAGACAGGTACCTGAAAAAGCAAGGTCAAGGCTGACCAAGTAGTCTTCCTCTACACAAGCCATAAATAAGGATAAAAGAAAAGCTAGCATATTTCAAAATAATCACATTTTTTAAGAAAACCTAAAATTTTATCAATTAGTAAATCAGTTGTCAGAATTAGTCTCTAATATTTAGTTCTCTAAAATTAGTCTCTAATATGAAATACATCCAAATTTCTTTTCATGAAGTTAACAAACAATAAAGCTATATTTTATAAGACTAGGACTTTATGAAAAGAAATAAACATGACAGAGACCATTTATGATGATCCAATATACTTAGGGAGAACTTACCTTTATATGTATTTACACTGACTTCCCAGAGTGCTGCTATTTAGTTTTGTCATTACATAAGCACAGGTGGGAGCCAGCAGAGAAAAACCCGGGGAATATTTTTTCGATTTCAGTTGGTTTTTATTCCTTTCTGGCCTGAAACATAGCCACTAGATGGCACAATGACACTGTTTTCTAGACAGTCTAAACAAGGGTCAAATGAAACTTAAAGCCATTTTATTATATGAAGAGATTTGGTGACAACAAGCACTTACCTCTAAAGTCTAAATCCTAATCCATGACTCAGAAAATATTTCTCTAGACAGCATATATGGGAATTTTTAATAGATTTAATGTAGTTCTTAAAATATTTAAAGTCTTTGTACCTAAAATATCTAAATCCAGATGGACAACTGAAATACATTTAAGTTGAAAAAAATCTGCTAAATATCATTCAAGATTTGGCACTCTGCCCTAACAAAATAAATAAATATAACAAGTTAAATCAAATTAAGTCAATCCCATAAGCTGAATTTATTGTCTTAAAATTACTCTTAGACCATAAGCTATCTGTTGTCTTAAGGTTAAAGATTTTTGTTCAATGACAAATTTTAATTAATGGTTACAAGCTGTGACCTCTAGCCAAATCTTAATAACTCACGAGATCATCTGATGCCTCTCTCCCATTTCCAGGATGGTATTTCCTTACTCACAGCCATCTCAATTAGTAGCTAACTAAAGGAAAAACTTTTTATAGTAAGTTAGCAATGAATAAAATGTTGAGATGAAATCTGACATCACATTTAGGACCTCTCCGCCCTCACCCTGACCTTCCAGGCTAATGGAGATAGCCTGGTTTCTGAGAAGAGCTGGGCATTTATTTGTCCTGCTAAGGAGCCCCTTAAACAGCATGGCTCACACTACAGCGGGCTGCCCAAGAGACAGCCCTGAGAGTGGCCATTCTCCTTCTCCCTGACTCTATTTACAGTCTACAAAGGTGGGTCTGTAGGAGAAAGTGACAAATCAGTTAATAGCATTATTAGAAGAAAAACCACAATCTAGCAAATTACATTTAGCTTGGCCTAAATAATTCATTTCAAAGATTTCAAAACCCAATCAGATTCTTTTCTCATAAGGCTTTCCTCTTTTATTGACTAGAATATAAATATGATAAGTAGTATGTTGTGTCATTTCTGAAAAAAACATGTGATTTTATTCTTTCTTGCTAGGAAGACTTTGTCGGACAAATTTGCATTCTCCTTAGATAGGTTTATTTCACCTCCAAAAACTTCTGCAACATTTCTCCTGACACTTTCACTCATATAACACCCTCAGATTTGTATTAGCTATACAATACTAGTATAGGAATATCCTTTTAGAAAATGGTTGCTTCCCTTTAATTTTTTAAAATTTTCTTTCTTTCTTTCTTTATTAAGGTATTACATATGTGTGTCCTTATCCCCCTATTGCCCCCATCCCCCGCTCGTGCTCCCCTAGTGTTTGTGTCCACTGGTTATGCTTATATGCATGCATACAAGTTCTTTGGTTGATCTCTCCCCCTTACCACCACCCACCCCTACCTTCCCTCTGAGGTTTGACAGTCTGATCGATGCTTCTCTGTCTCTGGATATGTTTTTGTTCATCAGTTTATGTTGTTCATTATATTCCATAAATGAGTGAGATCATGTGATATTTATCTTTCTCTGATTGGCTTATTTCGCTTAGCATAATGCTCTCCAGTTCCAACCATGCTGTTGCAAATGGTAAGAATTCCTTCTTTTTAACCACATCCCTTTAATTTTTAAACTTCTAAATAGGAACACAGATGATCCATTACAAGAATCTTTCTTGAGTGAGAGAAATCAAAAAGCATTTTTTTGTTGAATAACTTTTAAAATTGTAAGTCTCTTTAATATAGTCACTAGGTCCTTGCAAAATTTAATGACAATCCTTTTTCTAATGTCTTATTAATGGGTATTGCATTAAAAGTTTTATAAAGAAAAACATGTTCTCTCAGGAATTCTAGTGTTTTAGTTTAAAAGTACAACCTGTGCTAGGCTTTTTCCTTGGTTAAATGATGTAATCCAGTAAGTTTCTTCTTTTCTTTTAGTAATAAGTAGATTGAAAATAAGTACTACTTTCATTTCAAAAATATTTGTTTAGAAAATGACAGTTTATTGCCATTTCTTTTAAAGCTGTGTATTAAACGACACTTTGTAAAAGACATTTTTAAAGGAAAAAAAAGTTAAAATATGTTAATGAGCATAAGCTCAATATTTTAAAAATTAAGACGTTTTTAACCCCATTCTGACATAATTTTTAACAATTACCAGGGATAGGTTCATACTGACATGCAACTTTCCTGCTTGCTAAAAAAATGAAGATCAAGACAGAATAAGAAGAGTAAAAATAATGAGTAAAAATCTCTATTTTAATTAGATAAAATAGAAAACAAAAGACAATACAGTAATAATCTGATTTTCACCCATATCATGCATATCATGTATAACTTCAATTATTAAAGCCAATAAAGATGTATTTTTGTTGATGATAAAGCTGTCTCTACTCCATGAGGTACTCATAGTACCAGTCATCATAGATTCCAAAGTCCAACAGATATCTGACCTGAATCTTGTTATTATTAAAAAGAATAATAGAACTGCTCAATGTCTTCTCAAAATATCAAAAGTAAAATAGTGATTAAAAAATAAACAAACTCCTGGACATTGTTATTGACATTCTTGTTCTTTATCCTTTAAAGTAACAGGTTGAAAGCATTTAAATAGACGATTTAAAAGAATCTTTTTTAAAAATATCTACCATCTTTTAAATGCTATCCAATAGGTTAACCAGTCATAAGAACTGTTAGCTACCTATATATAGTAATTCACTAGATAAAGAAATCATACTCAATACGTTTAACACATCACTATCAGCAAATTTAATAGAATAAATGTCAACAATAAAATAAATACAAAGCATAATTAGAGAACACAGACAAAACACTAATCAAATGTATCCTGGACAAGACAATTAACATTCCTACAACTCTGTTTCCTTATATGTGTTTAAAAAAAAAAAAAAGTACCTAGAGAACATGTGTAGTTTATTTCTACAAGCCAAAAATTTCCAAATACATTCTTTCTTATGAAGGTAGCCTAGAGAAAAGAAAAGATAGGCTTTGAAAGCAGACATATAGGAGTCCTAGTACTAGCCATGTGTGCTGAAAAAGCAATAAAATCTGAGGTGCCCTGGCTGGGTGGCTCAGTTGGTTGGAGTGTTGTCCCATACACCAAAAGGCTTTGGGTTTGATTCCTGGTTGGGGAACATATCTAGGTTGAGGGTTCCATCCTCAGTTGGAAGCATATGGGATGCAACTAATAGATGTTTCTCTCACATCAATGTTTCTCTCTCTCTCTCCCTCGCCTTTCCGTCTCCTCTCTCCCTCTCTTCCTCCCTCTAGAATCAATTAAAAACAAAACAAAACAAAACAGACATATTCTCAGGTGAAGATTAAAAAAACTATCTGAGGCTCAGTCTCCTAACCAGTATACTGGGTATAATACACATGCCCCAATGTGGTGGCTGGGAGGATTAGAAATGATAAATAGCACATCCAGTATGGTGCCAGGGCACACTGCAGATGAGGGGTAGTGGCAGCAATCAATTTTAGTATTCTCTACTGCAAAAAGTCTCCTTTCCCTTTCCTGTTGGGCAACACCAATGCTGACTATGACAATGGCTCATACTCCTACTGTGCTCCTGCATCACTAGAAACAAGGAGGGCTGCATGTGGACCCTTGTACCTGCACAAGTGAAAACAAAGCAGCAGCTTTCAGACCAGACCATCTTTCCAGACCTGAGAATTATTTTCAATGGTAACATACTAACAACAGCCAAATGCATAAAAATATGTAGTCTATAATCACTTTATAACTACCTAATATTCAATAAACTTCACTGAGAGAGGGTATTTGGTTTGAAAAATAATAGCTTATTCTGAGAACAAAGGTCACATTCAAAATATGACAGCAGAAAATAAAGTTATAGTTTTAAATTATGGATATAACAGGTTAAATTTATATGCTTTGTCTCCAAATCCTGATATAAACACTATATACATATATATATATATATATATATATATATATATACACACACACACACACACACACACACACATATATATATCCTATCTAATAAAAGAGAAACATGGTAATTGGCGTACGACCGCTACCCTTCCCATTGCCTAATCAGGGCAATATGCAAATTAACTGCCAGCCAAGATGGCGGCCAGCAGCCAGGCAGCTTGAAACTAACATGAGGCTTGCTTGCTTCAGTGACGGAGGCCTCCAAAGTTCCCCGCCTGCCGCTGCAGGCCTCTGAGCTGCAACTCTAAGCAACTATGTAACAAATATAGAAGCTAAACAAAACCCCAGAAACCTTCAGCCAGCAGGATTGCAACATTGTAAGCAAAGGCCAGAAACCTACTTTCAGCAGCGGAGGCCTAAGAGCTGGAGCCAAGCCTCAAAGCTAAAGCTGGCCCAGAATAAAAAAAAGAAAAAAGAAAAAAAGGAGAGGTTGGGAGCTTCAGTCACCCCCAGCCTGAAAACAGCCCTTAGCCCCTCACCCAGACTGGCCAGGCACCCCAGTGGGGACCCCCACCCCGAAGGGTGTGTGACCAGCTGCAAACAGCCATCATCCCCTCATCCAGGCTGGCCAGGCACCCCAGTGGGGACCCCCACCTTAATCCAGGACACCCTTCAGGGCAAACCAGCCGGCACCCACCCTTGCACCAGGCCTCTACCCTATATAGTAAAAGGGTAATATGCCTCCCAGCACCGGGATCAGCGGAGCCGCGAGGCCTCCCGGCACCAGGATCAGCGTGACAGGGGGCAGCGCCCAAACCCCCTGATCGCCCTGCAGTTGTGTGTGTGACAGGGGGCGGGGCCACAACCTCCCTATCCATCCTGCTCTGTTCGTGACAGGGGAAGGCGCCCCAACCCCTGATCAGCCCTGCTCTGTGCCTGATAGGGGGGAGCTCCCCAACCCCCTGATCACCCTGCGGCTCTGTGTGTGACAGGGTGCAGCGCCCCAACCCCCTGATCAGCCATGCTCTGTGTGTGACAGGGTGCGGCGCCCCAACACCCCCCCCCCACGGGCCCTGCTCTGTGTGTGACGGGGTAGAGCCATAACCTCCCCATCGGCCCTGCCCTGAGTGTGAGAGTGGCAGCGCCCCAATCCCCTGATCGGCCCTGCTCTGTGGGTGATAGAGGGCAGCGCCCCAACCCCCTGATTGACCCTGCTCTGTGCGTGTCAGGGTACGGAGCCCCAACCCCCCTGATGGGCCCTGCTCTGTGCGTGACAGGGGGTGGCGCCGCAACCTCCCCATCGACCCTGCCTTGAGTGTGACAGGGGATGGTGCCCCAACCCCCCAATCGGCCCTACTCTGAGCGTTACTGAGGGTGGCATCACAACCTCCCGATCCGCCCTGCTCTGTGCATGACAGGGGGCGGCGCCCCAACTCCCCAATCGGCTCTGCTCTGAGCCCGACCAGGGGCTGCACCTAGGGATTGGGCCTGCCCTCTGCCACCCGGGAGCAGGCCTAAGCCAGCAGGTCGTTATCTCCCGAGGGGTCCCAGACTGCGAGAGGGCACAGACCGGGCTGAGGGACCCCCCTCCCCCCCGAGTGCACAAATTTTTGTGCACCGGGCCGCCTCTAGTATGTGTGTGTGTGTGTGTGTGTGTGTGTGTGTATATATATATATATATATATATATATATATATAGACAAGACAAACACACACACACACACACACACACACACACACACACACACACACAATTTATTGACTACTTATTATGTGCCTGGTGCTATATTAAGTTCTTAAATGTATTCTTGATTATCTTTGCAACTGAGACATAGATTGTGTTAACATGTCCATTTCAAAGATTAATAAACTGATAAAGAAAACTCAAGTTACCCAACGTGAACAGCTAGTTCCCATTAAGCTACACTGCTTCTTTCTATGGCCTTCTTGTCATAGTCTGTGATGTCCATCATTTTCAATATTACTGCTACTATTTTTTTTAAGTTCCAGACTTTCTTTTTAACACTAAAACCTTTCAGAATTTTCTTTACTACTGAACTATGGCCCACTCTTGTAGCATGGAGAATTTCCTAATATAGGGAGCTCCTCCTGCCTGTGGCCTGTGGGTGCCCACCTGGTGCAACCATTCTGCTAGATTAGGTAAGCTTTGTTGAGCAGGAGGAAGAGGTGACTAAGCAATGAGGCTACTTTTTCTTTCCCCAAATACATAGGAAGGATTTTCTTGCCCTTAAAGAGTGAGCACTTGCAAATATATTAGTATACAAAAGAATTCTGGTGTTTTGCAGTAGGTACTTCTAAGTGTTTTCCCTTTGATTATTCCATTAATCTCCTAATTTTCCCCAAATTAGCTTTAAGAGTTAGATGACATATCCAGTACTATACAGATATATGTGATTTGTGAAAAAAATCCTTGCAAAAATTTTACCTTATATAACGTTTCTGGTCATGTAAGGTCGATGGTGTCTCAAGCAATTTGTCCAGAAGTAATTCTCTTAAAGCTTCAATCCGTGTTTCTACTTCAGCATAATCTATTTTTAAAAAGGTACAAATATACAAGATTTACAGGATGGAAACTTAAGATAATATTACAGACAGTAGAACAGTGGCTGCCTTGAGGGTTATAATGGTGAATTGAGAAGAGGCTCAAGGGAACATTCTGGAGAGATGAGAACATTCTATCTTGGGTGTGGGTTACAGCAGTGTGTGCATTTGTCTGTGCATTTAACTTAATATAAATTAAGTATAAGAAAAATAAAATCAAGTTTTCTGAGCCCTTATGGAGTTGGGATTTACAAAGTTAATAAAGCCCTGTGATATTTCTCCTAGTTGATAAGGCATTACCATAAGGTATTTTAGGCTTTTCTTATTGTTTTATTTTCTGTACCTGGCATTAGAGATCATTTCAAAAGCTGTTTTGTTTACTTTAATGTAGGTTTAGAATTCAGAAATACATCGATCTTTCTGAAGAGGGAAGATTAAAATGTAGGTTCCTATTTCTAAAAAATATCTATAATTGACTCTTTCCAATGAAAAATAATATTATGATGGTCAATAAGTAGCAAAGAATATCTAAATCTAACCAATCCTATAGCTGTGGTTGCTCATTTTCACTACATCTTAGTAAGAAAAGCCATATGTTATTTTTGAGGTAATAGTTTTATATTTAAAAAGATCACCATATCAATAAAAACTAAAAAGGATGTAACATTCTTTGCAGAATACATCCCACATTCTTTCTGTGAAAGGAAAGGAGAAGATCTAAAAGCAATAACAAGCCTTACATTTCTTGAAAACTTGCACCTCTGTTTTTCCAAAGAGTGACTTGGCCTTTTCATAGTCATTAATAACCACATCATAATCACCCTTTAAAATAAAAAAAATATTTTTGAGACTGTCAGCAAAGTACAATGAAGACATATGATTAAGATAAAAAACATCTTAACAATACTTTAAAATTTATGATATCTATAACCATCAGTATATAAATACATACTCTACCTTTTGAATATTCCTTTCAATATTTAGAGGAAGGTTGAAAAGAAATTTAAATCGCTGGAGGACATTGAGTGCATTTCTAGTGGAATCTGCCTTGTCCTTTCGACCTAATACTTCTTGAAATAATGTATCTGCAGTATTACTTGCTCCTATTTTAAAAGAAAAAATTCAAACTTAGATAAAAATTGATTTTATTTAGAAAAGTATAATTGGACAAATGAAATAAAATGTCAGATTGTTATTGAAGCTTTAGACTAAAACTCAATAGACTTTTTTTCAAACATTAGCTATAAGGGAGATCTTTCATGGTTTGCTAAAATACAATTTCCATTTTGCCTACTAAGTCTTTTCTTATGTTAACAATGGTATCCAATTAAAAATAAGCATATTTACCAGGCTCACATAAATTCTTCAATGTGAACCTACATTTTATTTTAGTCACTCTTCTAAATTTCATAGCAATTATAGGCCAGTTGGATACTTCATTAATTCAGACAATAGGTTAAAACACACACATATAAACATGTGCACACTCACGTACACTAGTTAAGTTCCATGGAGTCAATATCTACATATGTGGTAATACACAAAACAAGAAAAGTATTTTACAGAAAAGTGTTCAAAAGAAATATTTCAGAACCAATCCTATTTCTTGCTAAAATTACCTCTTTGTATAGCAGGCACAAAAAATTACATAAACATTAAAATGACAAATTTTAACATATCATTAATCAATATTTCTTAAATCAGCTAATTCTTATATTATACACAAACTAACCTAAAAGACCTCAAACTATATGAATCACTGTAATGAAAGAGTTGCTTTATCTAAAGTGAAATTTACTATGTTCAAAAATAGTTAAGCTTTTTCAACTTATGAATTATTTTTAATTAGCCACAAGGGGAGAAAAAGAATAAAGTGTTTTCAGCTGTTTGATCATTGCACATAAAAAGTTTCTACATTATCTGGTCTAGTGACTATACTTTAAGCAAGATGAAAAAATTACCTCAGCCTCACTGGGTGGCTTGCATGCCACATTCTCCACTCCACACTGTGGGTGGGCTGATCCTGTTAGTCATCTTTGTAACATAATTGTTTTATCTAAATATTGTTTAAATTCTGTTGAAATTATAAAAGCCTAATATAAAAACTTTGTTTTGTCAAAATAGCTGCTTTCATCACATTCTATTTAATGTCCAATACTAAATTTCTGCTATACGATGAGAAAAACATACTCTCTTCTTGCCACCAAACCACATGCTGGTGGCTAAAAGAACATTTCAAATCTGATTAGAGTTAAAACTTTTTCCTTCAATGAAAATTATTATTTATCATATAAAAATATAAACTTCATGAATTGAGGCTAAATGAATAGATATATGAAAGAGATTAAATATTTTTAAAAGGTTGATTACTTATGTGTGAGCTGTGGATACTAAAACCCTAAGCACTTTTTTAATATACAATGAAGAAATTTACAGCAAAAAGTATGAGAGTTCAAAATTAGATTTTTCTCATCTTATTTTAAAGATATGAAAAGATACAAACTAACAATTTTAACTCCTCTAAAAAGCATGAAAAGCAAGTACAGGTAGAAAATCCACTAATAATTAAGTAAAATATAAACATTTTATAGAGAAAAATTTGTAGGCAGAAATTGTAAATTATAATTTCTATACAAAAATGTATATATATGATTATTAATTTATTATATATGATTATTTAATATATGATTATTAATAATCATAATATATGATTATGATTATTATAATCAGAATTTTAATTTATGCACACAAAGAAATTGTGAATTATAATCTTAATTTATAGATAATTTCCATCCATAAATTTTTATTCTGTTATGAATTTTACTGCACTCACAATAAAATTTTGGGAGTTCATAATTCTTTGATAACTGGACAATCATATCTAGTAATAAAATAAATGAGAGCAGTGAAACCGAGATTTGTGCAAGCAGATAGAAATTACCAGCAGTTCACAAAATGCATTTTATGCCTATGTTCTCTAGAGCCACTAAGAAAATGAAACTGGGTGGGAAACACACAATGTTGCATTATAAAGTTGTACACCTGAAATTTACATAATGTTATTAATCAACTAGAGGCCTAGTGCATGGAATTTATGCATGGGTAAGGTCCTTAGGCCTGGCTGGCTGTCGGGGCCAATCAGGTTCCCTGCCTCCCTGCCTCCCTACCTCATCCTTCCCTCAGCGCTCTGCAGCCGCCACTAGTCACCCACCATGTTCCACACTGCCCCCTGCGGGTCAGCACACATCACAGCGAGCAACTGAACTCCTGGTCTCATGGTTGAACTCCTGAGGGGACACTTTGCATACTAGCCTTTTATATATAGAAATGTTACCTCAATACATTAACATTTTTTTTAAATAAAGAAAACGAAACTACTAAACTCAGCAGTGTCCACACGCAAATGACACCACAAGTAAGCCAATTAGTCAGCCATCTTAGAACAATCCCCCGTGGTAGCAATCCTACACATCCTCACCTATACATCCAACTTTTAAGGCACCTGGCAGGGGTTTGAACATCCAGGGTGTAACCATAGAACAAATCTAATTGAATGAAATAGCCACGTTAAAACCATAGCTTGGGTCTTGCAGTTTGCATAAGGAATCCTGCTCTTATAACTACCAGCCCTGGGCAAGTCTAGACCGGGAAATTGGTCCTTTCTCAACATAAGCTCCCTGGAGAGTGGCTGTCATTGTCTCAGTTACAAATGTACCCCAAGAACTAACAGCAATGCTGCTATAATAACACTGTGGCTGCCACCATTATAGTGGGCTGACTGAACAATAAAATTTTCTTCAATGTAAGATGGGACAACATGGATGGACTTTCAAGACATTATGAGAGTGAACTAAATAAGTCAGATACAGAGAAAGACAAATACTTCATGGTATAACTTAAAAATAGACTCTAAAATAGGTGAACTCATAGAAACAGAGAGTAGAATGGTGGTTAACAGGGGCTGAGGGTTAGGGGGCAGGGGGAATGGAGAAATGTTGATCAAAGTACAAACTTCCAGTAAGAAGATGAATATGTTCTGGGGATCTAGTTAATCATATTGTATTATATACTTGAAAGTCGCTATGAGTAAATCTCAAATGTTCTCAGCACAAAAAAAAGAAACAGAATTCTGTGACATGATGGAGGTGCTCTAAGGCAGTAATCATACTGCAATATAAAAGTGTATCAAATCAGCATGTTGTATACAATATTACATGTCAATTGCAGTTCAATAAAGCTGGGAGAAAAGATGGGAAGAAAAGTCACTGCAGCACTTCACGCTAACCAATCAAACTCATTCCTTCCCATTCACCTATATCTTTAACAATGAAAAAAAAAAAAAAAACCCCAAAATTTTCTTTGTGCCAGGAACTACTATTATATAGAAAAACTAGTCATGTAATTCTAATGATGTCCTACAATTTCAAGCATGTCTGTTTAAAGCAAACATGCTTTCTCTTATTTTGAAGTGACTTATTGGTCCTTTTCATGGCACTGACACCTGAGACAGTATATCACAGAAGTGATTTTTAACCTGTGGTCTCTGCTTGATGTGAGTTGAGGGGATTGTGTGGAGGATGCAAAAAGTGCCCTACCCACAAAACACAAACACACACACATGCACTATATCCCAGGATTAGGCAAGTTAAATGAGATTAGGAAACATTAAAGTATCTGGTAATTTAAGGTAACTTAATAATGTAGACTTAAATTCATAGTAAAACAAGGACCACAATGAGACCTAACAACATATTTATTGTATGTGTCTCAGTTTTGTAGAGGGCTGCCTGGGAGGCACCTAGGCATTTTCTTATAATTATTGTCAACTGAACTCAGAGCATAGGCAGAGCCATGCCCTGGGAACATGCTTCCCCAATAAGGCTGGACATGTTACTCAGGCAGGGGCGGAACTAGATATGTAAATCTAGGCCTTTAAAATAAACCTGCTGTGTGGCTCAGCCCGCTTTTTGCCGCCTCTCCATCATAGAGGATGGCGCCCACCTGGCCCCAGCTTAAAATCTATTTCTGCGTCTTGGTCTTTCTTTAATTTCTTAATCCCCAGCTCCTCCACTCAGCAAATGGACTGTTTCCTTTTCCATGCGGGACATGGAAAAGAGAGAAACAGCCCCCCACATTTGGCGCCCCCCAACAGGGGCTGAGTACGGAGGCAAGAGAAGAAAGCGAGGGGGTCACTCCCAGAAGCGTGTGCACACAGATTCAAAGGAATAAGGTAAGGGAGTGTATTGTTGTGAATTGATATGAAATAGCCAGGTGTAAAACATGGGTGGGTAATCCTCAGAAAAATGCTTTAAACTATGCTCTGTTAATTGCAGTCAAATTCTTGATTTCTTTCTTAAGCTTTGTTGATGAAACCTGGGAAAAGGTTTGAAAGCAGTTGTGTGACCAATACTCAGCAAAAAGTCCAGAGAAAATTCCTATTTTAATTGGTGATGGCCTTGATTCAGCACAGGAGAGTTTAAGAATGTCTAAGTGAGGTGCAGCCACGGCCTTACAGCCTGGAGTGGAAGGGTGCGAGTCTCTAAGAATAGCATCTGCACGTCCTCTGCCTCCACGTGTAACCAAGTAGAAAAGGATTAAAGGAATTTCTCAGCAACTGCCGATGATTCTTTATCTTAAAAAATCTTTTCTTTCCTTAAAAAAATAAAAATAAATAAAAATTGAAAAATAAATAAAATAAAAAGAGTAAATGCCAGACCATTACTGAATCTTCCCCCTAAGAAACAAGGAGGTGGGGGAAGCTCACGTGGCCATCCTATATGGACGTCACTTCCCAAGAAAGCCACTTCTCCTCATCTTCACCATCTTTATCCTTTTTATCCAGCTAATGACTTAAAGCTTTTACAAATTCATAAATGCATCTGGGATTTCTGTGCACATGTAAAGGGAAAAGGCCAGTTTAAAAACGAGTGCGCATAGTTCTGAGCTGAACTAGACCTTTTGCTGTGTACAGAATAAAAACCTGAGACTGTTTTGGCCTTAAAAATGGCGGAGATGAACCCGAGAAAGAAATGCAGGCTGGTTTCCCAAGGCGATCTAAAGTAGCTCTTTTGAAATTTCCCGCCCTTGAGGCAAGTACCACCAG